ATTATCTGGGATGGGCCTAACGTCGTCATGAGTCCTTAAATGTGAAAGAAGAAGACAGAAGGATCAATGTCAGAGTGAGCTGATGTGAGAAAAACTTGGTCAATTGTTCTGGACTTTGAAGATGGAAGGAGGCCACAAGTGGAGCAGTTATCAGCAGAGTCCAGAAAGTGGTAAAGGCCAGAAAACTGATCCACCCCTAGAGCCCAGAGAAAGGAATGTGGCCCTGCCAATATCTTTATTTTAGCCCAGCAAGATCCATGCCAGACTTCTGACCTCCAGAATTGTAAGGTAACAAATGTGTTGTTTTAAGCCACTGTGCTTCTGGTAATTTGTTACAACAGTAGTAGGGCACTAATATAGATGTCATATTAGTTTACATTTTTGCATTAATATTAAATTTGAGGGGCTTGATACTAGTACTGTGGATGTATAGGAGGAAGTCCTGGTTCTGATGAGATACAGGCTGAGGTAGTTAGGGTGAAGTATTATGGTATCTATAACTTTCAAATGATTCATCAAAAAATCATATATATATATATATATATACATATATATGTGTGTGTGTGTATATATATATATATAATAAAAATGTGTGGGTACACGTGTGCACATATTTACATCTATACATCTTACTGTGCCTAATTTATAAATTAAACTTAATTTGGGTATGTATGCATAGGAAAAAACATAGTATACATAGGGCTCAGTACTATCATGGTTTCAGGCATCTACTGGAGATGCCTGAATATATTCCCCATGGACAAGGGGGGCTATTATATAAGTTGGATAAGTGCTGAGAATCTTATGTACAACATGGTGATTTTAGTCAACGATACTGTATTGTATATTTGAAACTGTTAAGAGGGTAGATCATAAGTGATCGCACCACCAACAAAGAATGATAATTATGTGATGTGATGGAGGTGTTAGCTAACGCTGTGGTAATAATCATTTTGCAATACATAGATGAATCAAATCATCACATTGTACAGCTTATGTTGTATGTCAATTGTATGTCAATTATATTTCAGTAAATCTGGGAAAAAACTTTAAAGAACTACCAAAAAAAAGCAAGTAAGCAAACAAAAAACAACAAATATTGTGGGGTGTTTTTTTTTTTTTTTTTGCCTTTTAAAAAAGTTTCTATTTATTTTTTAAGAGAGAGAGCAAGCAGGGAAGGTGCAGAGAGAGGGAGGCAGAATCCCAAGCAGGCTCCGCACTGCCAGCACAGAGCTGGAGGCGGGGCTCGATCTCACAAACCATGAGATCATAACCTGGGCCGTAATCAAGAACCAGAGGCTTAACCGACTAAGCCACCCAGGCACCCCAGCAAATATTGTTGATAGGGAAATGGCAGAATTACATTTAAAATCAACTCAAAGATGTCCAGCATTGTCAGTGTCCTCCTGGGATGTCCCAGACAGCACAGATCAACTGTCATCACTCATAGGTGATTACTGTCTATACAGAGAAGCCCCCAAAGCCTGTAAACATATTGGTAGAAATAATAAAAGAGTATAGCAAGATGTTTGACTTTAAGATAACATAGTGTACAAAATTTATTGCATTTCTATAAATTAGAAACAAATAGAAAATGTCCTTTTTTTCCTTTCTTAAAAATATTTATTTATTTATTTGGAGAGGGAGACAGAGAGGGCAAGAGAACAGGGGAGGGGCAGAGAGAGAGAGAGAGGGAGAGAGAGAATCCCAAGCAGGCCTCTCACAGTCGGCACAGAGCCCCATGCAGGGCTCCATCTCAGGAACCGAGAGATCATGACTTGAGACAAAAGCAAGACTCAGACGCTTAACCAACTGGGCCACACAGGTGGCTCACCATCGGAGTGCCTTGGGGGCTCAGTCCGTTGAGCGTTGGACTCTTGATCTCAGTTCAGGTCATTATCTCTCTGTTCCTGAGATTGAGCCCAGTGGGGGGCGCTAATGGTGTAGAGCCTGCCTGGGATTCTCTCTCTCCCTCTCTCTGCCCCTCCCCTGCTCTCTCGCTTTCTCGCTCTCAAAAATAAACTTTAAAAAAATAATAAAAAATGAAAAGAAACCATTTATAATAACGAACACTATAGATCATTTTGGAATAAATTAACAAAAGATGTGCAGACTCTTATGCGTAAAATTAAAAAAAAAAAAACTTTACCGAAAAATATTAGGGAAGACTTAAATGGAGAGACGTCACATGTTCATGGATAGAAAGGGTCAGCTTCATAAATACATAAAGCGTCTCCTAAATTGGCTATTATTCAATGAAGTTCAAACCAAAATCCCAACAGGGTTTTTATGGAACTTACAAGCTGAACCTAAGTTTATATGGAAAGCCAAGATCCTCCTGAAGATGAACAAGTGTAAGGGGGAAATGACTTGCGTTCTCAGGTGGAAAGATTTAGTAAAAAGTTAGAAAAATTAAGACAGTGTAGGGCTGGCACAGTAGATAAATTGATCCCTGGAAAAAACAGGGAGCCCAGAAACAGACTCATGCAGATGTGGAACTCTGATATACAACCAAGATGCCGGTGCAGATAAATGAGGAAAGGTGGAATTATTTCACAAAGGAGGTGGAGCAATTAGTTACCCATATTTTTAAAAATGAAAGTAGATTCCTACCTCAAAGGAGCACAAAAATCAATTCTAAATCGATTAAGAATCTAAATGTGAATGGAATATTGTCTTTTCTTCTTTCCTTTTGAGACTTGCTTTGACTTGCCGCTTAATTTCTTTTTTTTTTTTAATTTTTTTTAACGTTTATTTATTTTTGAGACAGAGAGAGACAGAGCATGAACGGGGGAGGGGCAGAGAGAGAGGGAGACACAGAATCGGAAACAGGCTCCAGGCTCTGAGCCATCAGCCCAGAGCCCGACGCGGGGCTCGAACTCACGGACCGCGAGATCGTGACCCGGGCTGAAGTCGAACGCTTAACCGACTGAGCCACCCAGGCGCCCCTGCTGCTTGATTTCTTATTTGGCCCGTTGGCTGTGCCGTTGTGTGTTGCTTGGTATTTGCATATTAAATATTTAATATTTACATTGTAGATTTTTCAGCTATGTTTTTTTTTCAATATTTATTTACTTTTGAGAGCAGGGGAAGGGCAGAGAGAGAGAGAGAGAGAGACAGAGGATCTGAAGCAGACTCTGCACTGGGAGCAGAGAGCCCAATGCAGGACGCAAACTCAGAAACGGTGAGATGAGCCTGAGCCGAAGTTGGACACTTAACTGGCTGAGCCACCCAGGCGCCCCCCAGCTTTGTTTTATTGTTGATCTCTAGCTTTGTGCCATCGTGGTTGGCAAATATAGTTGGTATGATTTCCGTCTTCTTAAAAAAAAAAAAAAAAGAACTGAAATGTGGAAAGCCAAACTTAACTTTTTGGAGAAAAGAGAGTATCTCTTAAGCAAGGCACGAGAAGATTTAACTGTAAAACTGGAAGACTGAGAAATTCAACATTGAAACTCTCTTCTTGAAAAGATACCATAAGAAATGAAGACAAATTATCCAACTGACAGACTATTAGCACTTAATATATAAGCATACATAAGGAACTCCTATATATCAATGAGAAAAAGATAAGGGGCACCTGGGTGGCTCAGTCAGTTAAGTGTCCGACTCTTGGTTTTGGTTCAAGTCATGATCTCATGGTTCATGAGTTCGAGCCCCACATCGTGTTCTGTGCTGACAACATGGAGCCTGCCTGGGATTCTCACTCTCCCTGTCTCTCTGCCCCTCCCCTGCTCTCTCTCTCTCTCTCTCTTTCTCAAAATAAATAGACTTAAAAAAATAAATTTAAGAAAAAGATAAAGGGGCACCTGGGTGGCTCAGTGGTTGGGCAACCAACTTCAGCTCAGGTCACGATCTCACAATTCGTGAGTTCGAGCCACGCGTCGGGCTCTGTGCTGACAGCTCGGAGCCTGGAGCCTGCTTCAGATTCTGTGTCTCCCTCTCTCTCTCTGCCTCTCCCCCACTCGCACTCTGTCTGTCTCTCAAAAATGAATAAACATTGTTTAAAAAAAGAAAAAGATAAATAACCCTATAGAAAAACAGACCAAAAAAACCCCCATAAAATAGGCATTTTACAAAAGAAACACAGCCAATACACCCATGAAAGGAAGCCCAGCCTGCTGAGTATTCGGGGAGACACAAATTCAGACTGCAGGGAGATGCCATTTTACAGCCGCCAGACTGGCAAGAATTAAAAAGTCAGGAAAGTCGGAGGGATGCGGATCAAAAAGAATTCTTTACTTTGTCACTAGTAATGTATAGCTGCTACCACCACTTTGGAAAACAATTTGGCATTGGCCCCTAAAACTGAACAGACCTTACAGCCCAGCCATACCGCTCCTGGGTGTGTACCCAGGAAAAACCCCTACACATAAGCGTAAGGGGGCATGTAAAGGAATATCCATAAGCAGCCACTGCTGGATCAAAACACTGCAGGGGAGGGAGACAGGAATCCAAGGATAATTGACGACAAATGCATGGTGATACAGTAGGAGGTGAGACACCAGTAAAAACGGAAGAACAAAAGCATACACTGGAATATTGGAAATATGGGGGTGCCTGTCTGGTTCAGTCATTGGAGTGTGAGACTCTTGATCTCAGGGTTATGAGTTCAAGCCCCACTTTGGACGTAGAGATTACTAAAAAGGCAAACTTAAAAAAGTAAACTTGGGGAGGGCCTGAGTGGCTGTCGGTTAAGCGTCCGACTTTGGCTCGGGTCATGTTCCTGCCGTTCGTGGGTTCAAGCCCCGCATCGGGCTCTGTGCTGACCGCTCAGAGCCTGGAGCCTTCTTTGGATTCTGTATCTTCCTCTCTCTGCCCCTTCCCCGCTCACGTCCTCTCTCTCTCTCTCTGGCTGCTGGGCATGTCATGGTCACTTTGGCAGTGATGCTCCCCACCCCCGCCCATCCCCTGCTCACTTCACCGCGCACACTGCCCACCACCTGCCCCTCCCCCCACACCTCCCATGTCCCCACAACCCTCATGGACCACAGGACAAGGCAGAAAGGCAACTCTGTGACTTTACTGGGTTATGGGAAGGGGTTTGTCCAGTCCGGCCAGACTGTCAGTCCCTGAAGGCAAGCAGAAGCCCTGAGAGGATGCCCCAAGCAGGACCCCGACTGGAGGGCTCTACACCAGCAATCTGGGCCTTCTCTAAGATGTTGAGGACCTCGGTCACTCTGATGCTCCCAATATGGTGAAAATCTGCTAAAAGTTTGTGATGTCCACGAGCACAGCCCATGAGGAGGAAGGTGGTATTGAGGAGCCCTGTGAGGAAGACAGAGCCGTTAGGGACACTTTCAAGATGCAAGTGTCCCACCCCTCCTTCCAGACACGCCTCACAAACCAGAACACCCGTTCTTCCACCAAAAACTTGGGTACCAGGCACCGTATTCCTTCCCTCTTGGAGTTCACGTGCCTGCTCCCCACAGCCCCAACCCCCTCTCAGTCCTCCAGCCCCTCTGAGAGATGAGAAGGCACTAACGCAAGTTTCTCTTCTCTCACCTGCCTGAAATTTTAAGGTGGAACTGTAGCACTGAGAGGCATCATAGGGGCAAGAATCAGTGGTGACCAAACTTGGGAGGCAGCCCTTAGAGTGTTCGCCCACACAGGTTGGGCAACCATGGGAAGAAAATGCCGTAGACCTCGGAGTGTTGGCCTTGAGTTTCACAAAAGGATCCAAGCTGGTGAGGTTGTTGCAGAGATATGACCGGCAGACGCGGCTGTAGGAGGCAACGGACAGTCCAGGCGGTGAAACGAGGTAAGAGACTTGCTGGGGGTAAGAGGAGGCTGGGCTGCAGCCCTTAAAACCCACAACTCCCCTTCTGGACCCTGAGGAGCAGATTAGAGAGCTCTGCTCAGTGTCGTTGGTCACACCCAGAGCTCCCCCTCCCACCCTGCACCCCGCTCTTCTGGGTCATTCTGTCCCATCACCAGCTGTGCTGAGGTGTTCAGCCGCACGGGGCTCAGGTCCCGGGGTCTCCATCAACCCACCCTCCCCACGGGAGCCCCTCTGCTCCTCTCTCCCCTGTGTCCCTTCCTTTTCTCCTCTCCCAGATTGCCCCTCTCCTCCTGGGATCTGCCCACCTCCTTCCTGCCCTCTTATCCAGCCCACACCACACCCCGCTGGAGCCCAGAGCCACTTCCCTTCAGCTGTCTCGATGAATACCAGCGTCTCCTCACAGCCCTCACTCAGCTTACACACCATGCTCCTCATCAGAAGCCATTTCCAGTTATGGAGAGAAACAGCTCTGAAGAGCGAGGATGTTGCTTCGTAGCACAAAAGAGCCCCAGCCCCTAAGGAGAGAATGTCCTTCCAGTCGTGTGCCACTCACGTTGCTTTCTCAGCCCCCAAACTGCCAACCAAGAACTCAGCCTCCACAGATCCTGTCCCCCCGAGGAACCCAGATATCCTGCCCTCCGTCCCCTAGTTATGTGAATCCAGCCCCCCACCCTCTGGGGGCCCCCAAAGCATCTAGCCCTGCAGGACATACGAGGCAGAGTGGAGATGGCCCCTAGGAGGCAGAGCAGATGCACAGGGCTCAAGTGCCGGGGTCCCATGGTCCTGGGTCCGGGTCTCCGGATGCTAGAGGTCAATCTGGAACCAATTTCAATCCAGGTATCAATCAAGGTCAGTTCTAGTTAGCTTCTGAATCCTCTGTTCACTTGCCTCTGGGTCACTGTTTCGAGAGCAGAAAGTTGATTGTCAGTTTTTGTGACATAGGCTCCCTGAGACCTTCAGGGACACAGGTCTTCCCGTCTCCATAGTCTCCCCTCCAACCTGCCCCGAACCCACCACGTTAGCTTCTCAAGTTATGACTCTCCCCTGCTTAGGTCCTCCCATTGGAGGCTGAGCAAAGATGCTGACTTAATCAGAGTCACCGTTACACAGGCTGCTCTCCAGACAGAGACAGTGAGACCAGAACAGCAAAGGTGTGTACGGAAGCTCACTGAAATACCACTAAATAGATTTGGGTTTGAAAAGGATATTTATCAGTATTCAGGAGTGAGTAATAATGAACCTAGTACATACCACACACACACACACACACACACACACACAAGTGCATGTAAAACCTGGTGAAACCTAATCAGGTCTACAGTCTAGTTAAGAGTGTTATACCAATGTCAAGTTCACGTTTGCATCCTACAGTTCTAGAAGATGTCCCTGTGGGGAAGTGAGAGGAAGTATTTACGGGTTTACAACTTTTGCAACTTCTTGTGAGCCAATAATCATTTCAAAATCAACTGGGTTTTTTTTTTTTTTTCAACTACAAGTCAAAATTTGGGACACAACTGAAGCAGTATTTAGAAGTAAATTTATAGTTTCAATACCTTTATCAGGAAACAGGATCGTTAAAAAATATGATCATGAGTTAACTTAAGAAGTTGTATAAGGAGCAATAAAGCATCCCCTGCTCCCCCCACCCCCCAAAAAAGATAGAAATTAAGATAACGGCATAAACCAGTCAATTAGAAAACAGCAACAATAAAAATTATTGCAGGAAACTAACATTCTTTGGCAAGATCCACAAGATAATTCTCCAGCAAATCTAATTAGGAGAAAAAGAGACGATGCAAATAAAATACAAAATGAAAAATAGGAAGTAACAGACAGGATGTTTTTAAAAAAATAAAAGTATCATTAAGAACTCTACATGTATAAATTTGAAAACCGAGATGAAGTCGGAGTGCCTGGATGGCTCAGTCGGTAGATCACACAGCTCTTGTCATTGGGATTGTGAGTTCGAGCCCCACGTTGGGTAGAGAGATTACTTAAAAAAAAAAAAAAATCTTTAGAACACCCAGAGGAAGTGGATTAATTTCTAAAATAATATGAAATGTCAAGATTGGCATATGAAGAGCATACGCAATGCCTTAAAGCAATGAAAATGGCCAAGGATCTCTGGCAAATTGAAAAGGAAAAGAGAGTAACCCCAGTAGGAATATGGGCCAAGCATAGGAAGAGACAATTCTCAGAAGAGCAAACCAGAGAGGCTAAGAAATACGTGAAGACACCCGAGCTTAACAATAACCAGAGAAATGCAGTCTATCAAACTGTACATCTATCGGGCTGGCAAAGAACCAGAAAGCCGGAAGAAGATTAAGTGTTGGCCGCAATGTGGGGATGCAGGGACTTTTGTGTATTGCTGCTTGTGGGGTCGTTGGGAGGGGGACAGGACCTTCTTCTGGACCGTGAGGAATAAAGGAGTTGAGAGTTCTGATCGATGTTTCAGCCCCAAAGCAGTGTTGTGGGGAGGAGTCTGGCAATACTGAGTCAAATTAGGTTTACAAATACCCATTACGACTATATCCTAGGTATGACGTAATAAAGAGCTCCACCTTCAGCTACAAAGGAATGTATACAAGGATGCAGCGTTATCAGGGAGATGGTGAGTCGAGAGCACTGTGGGCATCCCTCCCTGAGACTTAGTGAACACGCAACCTGCAGGGGATGCCAACCGTGGAATATCATGCAGCAATTAAAAGAAACTGAGGAGATGTACGCATAATATGCACGTGGATGGATCAAAAAAGCACAGTGCTGATTATCTTACATAATAACACAATATCGCTTGCGTAAGTTAAAACCACACGCAGAGGGGCATTGGCTGGCCCGGTTAGAAAAGCAGAGCATGCAACTCTTGATCTCGGGGTTGTGAATTCGAGCCCCACAATGGGTGTAGAAACTACATACATACATACACACATACACACACACTTTAAAAAACACGTGCACATAAGACAGTGCACATATTGCAAGCACACACATGAACCAAAAGATACCCAGTAGCCACCTGAAGTGAGTGCCCACAGGAGGGTTAGGGGATGAAAGTGGAGAATGATGATTACTGGAAAAACTAACGAAAACAATGTAGGTGGTACAAAGTTCATAGGCTTTGGACTCAAAGGTAGAGCAAGGTTAGAATCTTTACCCCTGCACTGACTAGCTGTGCAATCTTGCGCAAGTTGTTGAACTCATCCATAAACTGGATTAATAATACCGCTCATAAGGTACTGTTGAAAATTAGTAAGATTATTAACATAAAGTGCCAGGCAAGAACTAAGCTTTCCATAAATGTCCATTCCCCGGTCTTTCCCTGTCTCTCCACTATCTAAAGGAACAAGGCCAACCTCACTAGCTGGCATTCAAGCCTCCCGCACCCCACATTCCCCACCCCAGACTGGCCCCAAACAATCTTTGCAACTTTGTCTAGTACGGCTCCCCTGCACAGCAGTCCAGCTAGAGGTCACATCGGCAACCCTTTTCTGTCCAGAATGCCTGGCACACAGGCTCTGTAACACAGGAGTCTGTGGCAAACAAAGGGACTAAGACTCACAGAAAAGATGGGACACAGGAAGGGGCGATGAAGGCTGATGAAGGAGCACACACAGGGGTTGAGCCAATCAGAAAAGATGGCACACACCAGCCTGGAATGCAAAACGACAGGAGCCAAAAATCTGAGCACAGGTGGAGACACACTCAAAAAAGAGTGGAATGAAATCCTCAGGGAAAAAGGATGGAGAGGATAGAGAGGTAGTCAGAGGAGATACTATCCCTACAAAAGAGAAACCATGCAGAGGAGGAAGGGTAAACTGATGGACTGGAACCGTGCAAGGGAGTCAAGAGGTGCAGCAGAGAAAGCACAAGAGGAGAGGCAGGAAAATGAGGCCTGGGGCACAAAGATGTGGTTCTGGGGGCGGGGGTGGGGGGGAAGGAGACAGGGCGGGATGCGCAGCGAGAAGGGGACAAAACAGAGGGTGGGAGGGAAATTGTGAGACACACCGAGAAGGCAGGCGATGATTACAGAGTGGAGCCCAGATGAAACTGATGAATTCTGGTGAAATCAGGGAGCGAGATGCACACCGGGGGTGGGTGGAGAGGATATCTATGTCTATGAAGACATAGAAAAACTACAGTGGGCGTCTCAGAAAGAAAGCGAAGGATGGGCGGGGGAGGTGGGGGTGGGGAACTGGGCCAGGCTATTTGGAAATTAAGAACGTGGAGGAAGGGGGCCCGAAAATCAGCAGGACAGACAGGCAGAGAGAAACTCCAAGAGAATGGGGAAAATAGGAGTTAGGAAAATCAACACCGAAACGGACGGTAAGAGAGACACAGAAAGGGGTGGGATAAGGGAAGGAAGCGGGAAAATGACAGGAGGGGGAACACATAAAAAAGAGAAGGGTAGATCGGGAGTTGGGGCACAGGGAGAAAAGTGAAAGAAACACGAGCGTCCACACAGCGAAGAGGAAACGCCCTGTCGAAGCCAGGAACGCCAAAAGGAAGGTCGCACTGTGCAGCCCAGAGGGTGAGACTGCGCAAGCGCAGGCAGGTCCCAGTCAACGCCTGGGAGTGGGACCCAGATAGCCGTTTCTTGGGGGGCAGGGCCAGCCTCATCCTGGGAGCAGTACTCGACGCCCCATTGGCCACCTCTCCGAAAAGGGGACTAACAATCCGGGAAGGCAAGCCACAAGGGGCGGAGGAATTGGGGGGGGGGGGGGCCGAGACTCAACTCGACGCGCTATTGGCTGGCCTCACAGTCTGGCGCGGGGAGAAGAGGCCTGGAGGTAAGGGGCGGGCCGTCAGTGCAGGATCTTGAAGCGCACTGGTCGCTTGCCTCGGTGGCGTGAGGCGACGCTTGACGCTCATTGGTCCTTGTGAGAAGGGGCGGGAAAACCGGCGCGAGCTTAGCAGTTCCTCACGCCGCTTCCTCACCGCGTCCTTTCGCGTCCTTCTGACTGAGTCCGACTTTGCTCGCTCGCTCGAGGCTGTGGTAACCGCGGGGCGAGGACGCGAACACGACCCCGCCCCTCCCTGCCCCTTCTCCGCCCTGCCTCTGGCGCTGGGCCCCCTCCCCCGCCTCCCCCTCGCGCTCCTCGCTCCCCTCTCCTCCCCTCCCCCACCTCACGGGGCCCCTCGGCGCGCTCCCTGTGCCCTGCCCTCTTCCTGGGACCCTGGAGCGAGGACAGGCCGAAGGCCCAGCTTCTGAAAGGGGGTGCACGCGGGCAGCAGGCGCTCGAGGCGGTGGTGCATGCGGGGAGGTGCGCTGGGGGGGGGGGGGGGGGCTGGTCCATGAGATGCGGTTGCTGGGAACGGGCAAAGGCGCCCCAAGCGCCGGGGCAGCGATCACAGGGTTGGCGTCCGACTTTGGACGCCTGTGGGTGCAAGAGGGGACTCCGTGCCGGGAGGAGGGGGCCTGCGACCGAGATCGGGGCCTGGCACCTGGAAGGGGCTCAGTAAACGTTTGTGGAGTGGATGACAATCATTCCTGAAAGCGGGGGGGGCGGCGGGGGGCGGACCGGGGGGGCGAGGAATCTCTAAGAAGAAAGTAATCGCGGGGTGGGGTGGGATCAAGAGAGTGTTCTGATGTAAAAGGGGGGCAAGGCGAACGTTGCCTCGCAGGACATACGTGAGGCTGAGAATTGAACGGGGAGCACAAACATTTGCAGGAACTGGATAAATGCACGAGGGAAGGATGATAGTTGCCGAAGATGATGGCAGGAAACATCATCGGATCGGGGCAGTGGGGGGAAGGGGGTATAGAATCCCTGGGGGTGGGGGGGTGGGGAGAGAAGGGGCCGTGAATGAGAATGAACGTGGGACTTGGGCGCGGGGAAAGCACAGGCGAGCAGCATAGAGTACCGTTTGCGTTGAAGGAATATGTAAGAAGGGAGTGAGAAGAGGGGCGCCTGGCAAGACGGTGAGCCTTCTGGGAAGGAGGATGCTCGAGGAAGGCAGTGGGTGAAGAAGGGAGAAAGCCAGGGAGGAAGCAAGGCGAAAGCTGAGTCCACAGAGGGTAGCAATGGAAACCCCTTCAGGTGTGGCCTCCCAGGGGCAGGAGGGCTGGTTGGGAGAGGGCCCATGTGGCCACCCTGACCTTCCAGTCCTGCCTCTAGATCCATGGAAGCCAAGGAAGTGCCTGCTGCCCAGCACTGCGCCGCAGACTCTGCCACCGGGGATGAGCCCAGAGCCCTCCCGGGCACAGAGCTTATCCCCAGGAGAGCTGTCAGTCGCTCTCCAACCTGCGCCCGCTGCCGAAACCACGGCGTCACTGCGCACCTCAAGGGCCACAAGCGCCTGTGCCTCTTTCAGACTTGCGAGTGTCACAAATGTGTCCTCATCTTGTAAGTATGAAGGAGATCCAGGGAAGGGAAGATGATGGGCCTCATCTAAAGGGAGGCTAACTTTTGACTCTCACCCCCCATTTTAGGGAGCGCCGAAGGGTCATGGCTGCCCAGGTGGCCTTGCGTAGGCAACAGGAGGCACAGCTAAAGAGGCACCTGGCTCAGGGACTCATGAGGAGAGGGGCGGCCCCTCCCAAAGCTCCTAGCCATGCCAAGAAGGGAGCCACTCGACCAGGGGTCCCCTGTGAGTGCCTGGCCAGGGATGGGGTGGAAAACAGTCCCAGACCTCCCATTGGATTAGTGTGTGACCTTGGGCAAAGCGTTTCTACTCTCTGGGCCTCAGTCTCTCCAACTTTAAAATGTGATCATTGGGAGTATGTAGTGAGGTCTGTGGATAGAAAAGGGTCACAGAGAGGGTCATGGGGAGATAAAAACTCAGTTTGCAGTTGGAGTGGGATGGGGGTCAGGAAAAAGGGCTCATCAAAACTCCCCCTGGTCCTTTATAGCTGGAAAGGAGAACATAGCACCCCAGCCTCAGACGCCCCATGGGGCAGTCCCACTGGCACTGACACCCCCTGGGAAGGTAAGGAGAACCTGGGCCGTGGTGGGGAGTGACTCCTACACTAGCCCCTGCCCAGGCCCTTTCCTCTGTGCCCTCAACACTTGGGTTCTAGATTTAGCCCTGACTTGTAATATGATCTCCGGGCAAATCACTTCTCTTCTCTGGGCAAAAAATGAGAGAGTGGGATTTTACAGCCCTCCAAGTCTAAAGTTTTGAGGTCCTGCCCCCATCCTAGAACATACTCATTCTTTCCCCAGGCTTGTACCTGAATCCAACCTGTGCTCTCTGCCCTTGCAGGATAACTCCCAGGGGCCTCTGCTGCTCAGCCGTCCCCCAGAAGCCTTGCCTTTGTCCTGGACTCCAATGCCCCCAGGCCCTTGGGCTCCTGGACACTGGCTTCCTCCAGGCCTTTCCATGCCACCCCCAGTGGTGTACCGCTTGCTATACCAAGAACCTACTGTCCCTCTGCATCCCTTTTCTGGTAAGACGAATTCAACATTCAACAGATGTTTAAATGCCATTGTACCACTGTATCAGAAAGAGAAGAGGACAGGGTAGGAAGGAAGATAGAAGCCATGACCTTTAACCCCTGTACCCTCCTGCGTTCTCTTACCCTCATTAGACTTTGACCCTGGCACTTCCCTCCGGCTGCCCACTCATGGACCCCGCCCAACCTGCCCAGGATCTTGCCCGATACTGATGGCTCCTCTTTCCAGAGAATCCCGAGGGCCCTCTGCCTTGCCCCGCACGTGAGTAGGAAGGGAAGAACACGCGTTTATCATATGCCTGACCCTGTTCTGGACATCACAGCAGATGATATAGAAGATAAGGTCTTAGACCTTGTGAAGAGGAGCTCTCCTAGCTCTGCCATTGCCTTACTATGAACCTTTGTACAAGTATCTTTTCTCTCCCTGAACCTGGTTTTCTATCAGGAAGTTGGAGACACAATAATTTTCTTTGTGGGTTGTCATGAGCATTAGTGATAATGTATGGAATGCACCTAGCACAAGCCCTGGCCTTGGACAAATAGGGGCTATTAAATCCTCTTAAACAGATAAGATGGAGTCGAATTGCCCGCTGAAATGGGGGGTGGGGCATGATGATGAGAGCCTCAGAGGCCTAAGATAGAGGCCAGAGACCATTAGGGGAGGCTTCTTCAAGGGGTCCCAACCTGTTCCTCAAGTTCCATGGGGATTGGGGAGGGAAACTAGACTCTGGTAGGGCAGGAACAGTCATCCCAGTCCCTCCCAATGTTTGGTATGTTTTTAAAAACTGACATCAGTGATTTCCCATAATCGGCACAGTAGCGCTGGAGGAAAGAAGCTGGCAGATATTTTCATTTCATAGAAAACAAAGCAGGCCAAGCCAGGGGAAAAGACTTGCCCAGGTCCACAAAGCCTAATGACCTACCAGGCACTCAGACTCTCAGATCAGCATATGCCAAAATCCTGCCCTTTCTCCCATGTGTACATGTCTGTCCATGTGTTTAATCCCCTTGGCATCTTCTCTTCTTCTTTCTAGATGCTCGACTCTGATACTCCAGCCCTGTGGCACTCCAGACCCTCTTCTGCTGCAGCCACAGGTCCTGGGACCAAAGTGGGATCCAGGACCCTGGGAGGAAGTTGAGCCAGGGGAAGGGAACATAGGGGATAGTGAAGTAACCAGGGGCTGAGAGAGCACTTGGAGGGTGGGCAGAAGTGGGGGTTCCCAGTCTTTTTCTCTCCCTTTCTTTTGCAGGCGCCTGCAGCCTCTCGCCTAGCCTGGACCTCTGCCCCCTCAGAGCGGCAGCTGCAGCGGGAGGCAGCTGAGGCTCTTGTGGGTCTGAAAGATTCTTCCCAGGCTCCCCGCCTGACCTCTTCTGTTCCTCCCAACCCTGCCTGGATCTCCCTGCTCCACCCCTGTGGCCCACCAGGTAACCTGTTCCCTGAAAGGAGACGATGGGATAGAGATATTGGGAAATGGAAGTACCAGAATTAAGTAGGGACTAACCAAGGAGATCAGGAGGGTCAGCAGGTTGAACATCTTCAGACTCAGGCCCCAAGCTTCTCAACCTAGCTTCTGGAATTGCAGTTGAGAGTTGTTCAGTGGATTAGTTTTATTAGTTTCGTGCTCAAAAGCAAATGTCCAGTGCCCTGATGTCAAGGAAAATGAGGCCCTGAGAGGGGCAGGGACTTGCCCAAGAGCATGCGGCAAGACAGTGGCAGACTTCAGCCCAAGGCTGGCTCTCTAGACCTATGCTGCCTGCTGTTGTCTCGAGAGGGCTGAAGAAGTAACAAGGGTCTGGCGTGGAAGGAGATCCGATAACTGCCTTCAAGGAGCTTCCGTTTTACTTGGGGAAACTGGATGCCTTCACAAAGCTCAGTGACAGAGCAGATGGCTCAGTTGGTAGAGCGTCTGACTCTTGATCTCGGGGTCATGAGTTCAAGCCCCATGTTGGGTATAGAGATCACTTAAATAAATAAAACTTAAAATCAGTGACTAACCTGGAAAGAACTAGAAAAATCTTGAGGAATGAGACTTACGGGACAGAGAGGGGAGGCTGAAGATCTTCCTGTCCAAAATGTTGAATTAGGCATGGGTACGAGTGAGGAAACCTGCATGGAAGAACTGCTGGAATGAAGGAGATGAAGCTGGAGAGACTTCTGATCATGGAGGTGTGGCATGCCAGACTTAGGCATCTAGAGCAGCCACTGTGCATGAAGGGGAGCCAGGGTATGTTTCTGAGCTAGGCAGGGACATATTTAGATACCCTGAGCTTTGAAAGACAAGTCTGGTGGCTTGATGGAGGGATTGAGAGACAAAGTGGGAAAATCGGGGAGGAGGAAGTGTTTGCGATGAGCCAGGTGAACAAGGATGAGGCCTGGATTGGGTGGGGTAGAAAGAGGGGATTGCTGGGAAAGGAAATGGATGTGACTTAGTCCCACCCCCTTCCTTCTTGCTTATAGCTCCTGCTGGAGGAAGAGGATTCCAGCCTGTTGGCCCCTCTCTCCGCCCCAGCCCAGCCCCCTCCGTAGCTCTGCATATTGGGCATCTGGGCTCCATCTCCCTCCTAAGCTAGAAGCCCAGAGGTTGAGACCTCACTTGAGCAAGGGGCAAGAGCCTGCAGTCACTGCATATTTGGTATTTTGCCTCTGGATTTATGCATGGAATATAATATAGTGCAAGCTTCCGGCTTTTTTTTTTTTTTTTTTAAGCTTTATTGTGCTTTGTTAGCTTTTGGTTCCTTTTGTAGTGTGGGTATTTCCTTGACTGAAAGTGGATATCCTCTTACCCACTTGGGTCCAGGGACCTTTTTAAATACCCAACAAAGTGAGAGTTATGCAATTTAAGCTAACAAGTATCTAAATAGGTTTTTGCATGAGTTCATGTTCCAGAATATTTGACATGTGATTCTGTACGTACTTGTGCACTTATGTCTGTCTCCATGCGTGCAAAAACAGGAGGGTATTTTCATTTTGTGTCTACGTTTGGGTGAGTAACAGAAAAATAAACCTTTGTTGTTTTAAGCCACTGAGACTTAGGGAGTGTTTGTTGCCAAAGCCTAACCTAGTCTATTCTGATTGACATAAAGGACTTGTTCAGTTCACTTTTCAAATTGAAAATAGTTATCCAGTAACTACCATAAATAAATACAAACTTGGATTTCTTATTATGGCTCAATAAGACAGATTGGTAGAGGGAGATGGGAGATTCAGTGACTCAACAATTAAGTGTCTGCCCTGTGCCGGGCATAGATACTTTCCAGCTGTCCAGAGGGCTAAAAATTGAAATGCATACAAGGCCAAGCCCATCACTTAAATGAGTAAAGAGGGGTGCTTGGGTGGCTCAGTAAGTTAAGTGTCCAACTTCAGCTCAGGTCATGATCCATGGTTTGTGAGTTCAAGCCTCGCGTCAGGCTCTGGGCTGACAGCTCAGAGCCTGGAGCCTGCTTCGGATTCTGTGTCTCCCTCTCCCTGCCCCTCCCCCGCTCATGCTGCTTTTCTCTCTCAAAAAAAATTTTTTTTTAAATTTAAGTGAGTACAGAAAGCTAGATGAGCCCTAGAAAACAGAATACATGCCATACCAGAGAGGGCAGCCTCCTTTGGGCCTTAGTGGATTGTTGCCAGGCAGGAATGTGACTATTGCCACAATTTCTGATTCCTTAAGAGAAGCTGGAAAACTGAATTTCTATATAAAACATATTAATTTTCAAGTGTTGGCTCAGTTTTCTTCTTTAAATTCTAGGTGAGCTGAACAAAACATATCTTCAGGCCAGTTTTGGCCAAATGGAATACCTATAATGCTAACATAATGTAACATTTTTTAAATGGGGAAACTGAGGCCAATGAGAATAGGAAGAATCAAGTTAGCCTTTTTCAAGGGCTTTATCTGAACTAGGGAGATTCATGTGTCTACATTTTGAAGGACCTATGAAAGGTAAGAGAACATTGTTACCATTTATTAAGTACCCCACTGTATGTGATTCACATACATGCTCACAGCAACTCTGTAAGCCATGCATGATTACTCCCATTTTACAAATAAAGAACATGTTTATTTTTTATTTATTTTTTTAAAGTTTATTTGGAGAGAGAGAAATAGAGCATGAGCAGGGGAGAGGCAGAGAGAGAGAGAGGGAGACAGAGAATCCCCAGCAGGCTCAGTGATGTCAGCACACAGTCTGATGCAGGGCTTGAACTCACAAACTATGAGATCATGACCTGAGCCGAAATCAAGAGTTGGACGCTTAACCAACTGAGCTACCCAGGTGCCCCAAGAACAAGTTTAAAGAGAGAAAGTAACTTGCCCAACTATTTTAGGGAAAATTTCTAGGCAAATAAAGGAGGAAGTTTCCTTCTCCTTGCCAAGCCCTAAATCAATTAGGTAATTTTTATAAAACAGAGTGAAAGATTCAGGACTCCAGCAGACAGGCATGAGCCCAAGGGTTTTTCAGAAAGTCTTTTCTTTTTCTACTCAAGGTATCCTTAGATAATAAGCAGGTCGTACCTGCATGTTCCTTTGTCCGCTGCTGTCAAGTCCTTCTCCTCGAACCATTCCACACATGAAGACCTATTGAGCTACTCCAAAGATATGAACACCTGGAGATCCCCATCCCCGTCTCCACTCGTAGAAGCGGCAGACAGAAAGCGCAAGGGACAGGCCTGATCACTGATTCTTTTTCCTGAGGCCACTTACACTCCTCTTTTTATCCAAGATGATTGCTGGTGATGGCATTCAGTCACTGCTTGTTCTCTTGTGTCTGGAGCCTTGAAAAGATGGGCTGCTTCTACTGCCTAACGTTACAGGGTAACAAATCTGCAACACTTCTCAGGACTCAACACAGGATAATCAAAGGAGGAAAGCCTGCTTCACACTTTCCTTCCCTCCCCTTGTTATAACTTAGATATATGATTGCTCCTTAATAGACCTGCCTAAGTCTTGCTGGGCCCTGCTCTCTCAAGTGACAGATGACCAAGCCCACATAGTCGCGGAGAAGGGAAGCACTGCAACAGGAAAGATGCCTGAGACCCTGCTACTCAGGGCTGACCAAGGGTCCCAGTACACCAAGCTCACACAGCTGGGAAGAGTAAATGGGAAAGTACAATGTGGGGTTAAAGGATGACATGAGAAGGTGGGGAAAGAGAGGACTGGGCGAAGGAGCTAGGGGCAGGCCACTCTTCCCTGGCCCTTCTTATTTCTCTGCAGTCCACCTCCCCTCCCAGCCAGATCCTTAGGGCTTTTCACGCCATTGGCTAGGCCTACTTTGTCCATCACATTGTCAGGGCTTCCCCAATGGTGCCTGAGGGAGAGGGGGGAGACTCTGCAGGAGCGAGCCCTGGGGAAAAGGGCAGATTTCAGAATTGTTCCTGCTCCTCCCTGTCACTGCCTCTTTGGGTGCAGCCGTCTTCATCTGCTGTGGTTGTAGGCAGCCAGTGGGTTCCTGGCCTGTGAGCAGCCCTTAGAGATTAGAGTCAGTGGGCTGTGAGCACTGTTCCATGTGCTGCCACTTTCCCACTTCCCGTGGCAAGGCGAGGAAAGGTGCCACCCAGGTCCAATAGGGTACTGCATAATTCATCCCCCTTCTAAGCGCCTTTTGTGTACCACCCTGACGTTCTGCAGAAATAACCAATGAGGTTCCAAATCTGAGGCGGCATCCCTCTGTCCAAACAAGATTGCCCCATCCCACCAGTCACCCAGGTATTACTTCAGAAGTTCATTTCACATTCTGCCTTTTGAGAATCGATGCTCCTCCCTTCACTTCAGCCCTACGTGAACCTGGTCCACACGTGACCACAGTCCTTGTTCAGTGTAGAACCGACATCTTATCACCCACCCCATCCAGTTTCTACTCAGACCCTCATTACCTGGTCCTCATTCTGCTCCCCCAGCCCCTTGTGTAGCTGGCTCTGCAGCCCCCAACATATGTTCTCAGAAACACAGTCCTATAACCCATACCCTGCCTGGGCCCTAATGACATCCTGAGCTCTCCCCAAAAGCAAGATTCCTCCTTTTCATCTGACTTAATGTCTCCTATAAACAGATCGGGCCAAGTTCCCTACATTCCTACATCCACAGGCCTGATCACCCTGAGCTGCGTCTGGCTTTGTGCCTCTATGTCTCCCCCTCTTAGTACTCTCAGGGAGCAGTACTTATTCTCAGGAACTCTCAGGGAGTTCCTCTCTGGGAACTCAGAATAAATAACTAAATACATTCTGTCTGATTCCTTAGGAATTTTTTTTTCCTACAAAGTTGATAAACTCTAATGTTGCCTCTCCCCTCACAATATGAACAATTTCCTGTCCTCAAACCAATTTTTTTTAACAGAGTTTTTTTTAGAACAGTTTTACGTTCACAGCAAAATTGAGCAGAATGTAAGTGTTCCTGTGGTCTCCCTGCCCCCGTACAAGCACAGCCTCCCCCACTATCACCATCCCACACCAGAGTGGTACATTTGTTAAAACTGAGGAGCCTACATTGACATGTCAGTATCACCCAAAGTCCATAGTTTACATTATGGTTTGTTCTTGGTATTGTACACTTTACGGGTTTGGACAAATGTATAATGACCCGTATCCACCATTATAGTATCAAACAGAATTGTTTCACTGCCCTAAAATTTCTCTGTACTCCACCTATCCTTATTCCCATCGTCCTTATCCCCATCGACCCCTGGCAACCAATGATCTTTTTACTGTTTCCATAATTTTGCTTTCTTCCCCCAGAATGTTGTATAGTTGGAATCATACAGTTTGCCTTTTCAGATTGCCTTCTTTCACTTAGTAATATGAATCTAAGTTTGCTCCATGCCTTTGCATGGCCTGATAGTTCCTTTCTTTTTAGCACTGAATGGCATTCTATTGTCTGAATGCACCACAACTCTGAATCATTTTTAAATTTTCTGGGGCGCCTGGGTGGCGCAGTCGGTTAAGCGTCCGACTTCACCCAGGTCACGATCTCGCGGTCCGTGAGTTCGAGCCCCGTGTCAGGCTCTGGGCTGATGGCTCAGAGCCTGGAGCCTGTTTCCGATTCTGTGTCTCCCTCTCTCTCTGCCCCTCGCCCGTTCATGCTCTGTCTCTCTCTGTCCCAAAAATAAATAAAAAAACGTTGAAAAAAAAATTTTTAAAAAAATAAATTTTCTGTCTATAGAGTTATTGAAAGAGGTTAAGCAGTCACCAGTTATGGATTCAAATCCAGTTTGGGCTTTACATTTACATGAGCTTGGCCAAACTACTTGACGCTCTAAAATCCAGTTGCCTACCAACCACCTTACAGAGTTGTTAAGGTTATGAACCTGTAAAAATTAACACCAAGGACACAGTGCTGAGAAACCATGTTATCTAAAATCATAGACTGTCAGAAAGTTTGCTCTTTGAAATCATAGCAATAGTGAGAACGGGACATCTCACTCTTGCCTGGGGGATCACTCTGACACAGAGACGTAGCCATGATTTTCACCCAGGTGCAGGGCGTCAGAGGAGGGATTTCTGGAGATAACATTGTACATTTATCTTAACCCTATAATTTCCAAACAAACAGGACCCTGTGTCTGCTTCTCAGCCAAGGTATGATGTTGACTCCCTTATATAGGACCTGCTTTGCCTTGAGTCCCTCAAACCTCTGCTTAATATAAATTTTACCTACAGTTCTTCTGGAAAGCTTTTTTTAAAGAACTCTTTAGTAAATTGACTCAAGTGGACTAACCTTAAATGATTCAGCACTGATATCAGAAATGTACATCAAAAATGTATAAAAGGAGAACATAAGTTACCTAAGTATATGGACACTTATAGTTACACCTACATACAACTACGTATTCATACATATTTTGATTCGGGGTGGGGGGCATGGAATTTGAGATACTAAAACTATTCTTAAGTTTTCAAGACAGTGTAAGATAGGTTTCGACACCATTCTACCTGAATGTGAAGCTCCTAATGTAAACACAAGATGTTATCATGCTAGAAACAGGGTTTGTGTTATAGACTTAGTGCTTATGTCGCCCCTCCCCCCAATTTCCTATCTTGAAACCTAGTTTCCACTTGTGACGGTATTTGGAGGTGTGCCTTTGGAAGGTGATTCACATCATGAGGGTGGAGCCCTCATGAATGGGATTAGTGTCCTAATAAAAAATTCCCCAAAGAGCTCCCTCACTCAAGTAAGGGCATGCAAAAAATAATTGTCTATGGACCTGGAAGTGGGCCCTCACCAGACACGGGATCGCCTGGCACCTTGATTTTGGACTTTTCCCAGCCTCCAAAACTATGAGAAATAAATTTCTGTTGTTTATGAGTCACCATCCATGGTATTTTGTTATAGCAGTCTGAATCAACTAAGATATTTGGTTTTAACTTTTATTTGTTTTAACAGGTATTGGTGTAACACATTGGCTTACTAATAACTAAGGCATTTTGTGTACACAGTATATCACTGTGAAAAAAATATTATTCGCTCTGATTTTTAAACTCTGTCTTTTCAACATAAGAAAATAGCAACACGCATTTAAATGTTTCCTTTTGCAGCAAGTTAACCATTTTATCAGACAAGTGTGTCCCTCCTGTTCTTGGTCGTTGGACGTTTCAAGGATTGAACCAAATCACGCATGTAACACTACATAACGTTTACCTGTGCCTGGCACAGAGTAGACACACAAAAAATATTTGTTGATAGAATTAATGTGACAACACCATGTACAACAAAAGGCGCAAAACGCCGGGATTTTGGTGTTTCCATCTAAATTGTGTTTGCTTTTTCTTTTTTAAAATCTTTTTATTTTTGAGACAGAGAGAGAGCATGAGCAGGGGAAGGGCAGAGAGTGACCGAGACACAGAATCTGAAGCAGGGTCCAGGTTCCGAGCGGTCAGCACAGAGCACCCGCATGGGGCTCGAACTCACGGACTGTGAGATCATGACCTGAACTGAAGTCAGGCGCTTAACCGGCTGAGCCACCCAGGCGCCCCTGTATTTTCTTTTTCTTAACTGAGAGTCTGAAGCCTTGAAAGGGCAAGTGGACTGCCTAAAGCCACACGGGTCAGTGAGGCAAGTGAGCAAAAGAAACCTAAAGTGCTGAGCGAACAGACTCAAGCACTAGGAGGCAGAGCTGCACTAACTTCTCCGAAGGTCCCGCCTCCACCTCTTTGTCCCTGCCCTGATCTCCTCCCCGCCTGTAGTTCCTCCTTCCCACTGCGGTCGCCTGGGCGGTGATGAAGCAGTTTCCGCCCTAAGAAGGGTGGTGCGGCTCCTTCTGCTCTCGCGAGGACTGGTGATCGAACACATTTCCTCTTTGCACTACCGCAGGGTTCCCCATCACAGTTCCGCCCTTACTACCCCCCACTTCCGGCCCGAAAAGCCACTTCCACCCACAAAGGGGGTCGTCCCGCGGGGGCACGGGCCGTGGCCGGGTCCCCCTTTCCTGCCCATCCAAATGCCCAACTTCCGCCGCCACAGTCTCCTCCGCCGCTGACGCGAACGAAGCCGTCCCACCCCACAGCTCAGGACGGGCGCTCGATTACACTCCGGGAGAGGAAAAGGCGGGCAGGACCCAGGCCTCCACCCCCGCCCCCTAGGCTTTCCCCTTTGCGTGCCCGCCTCCACACCACACACCCTCCCAGCTCGAAGCCGCATTCGCCCTCAGAGGGGCGGGGCGGCTCTTCTGGCCTCGCTCTCGCGAGAGCTCGCACTTCTCGCGATACCCGACGCCCGACTTGTGCGCCCGGGAAACCCCGTTGCTCCCTTTCCCCTGGCTGGCAGCGCGGAGGCCGCACGGTAAGACGGGCGCTCCTGCTCGGGCTGGGCGCGGGGCGTCAGGGGCCCGACCCCCCAGTCGGGAGTGCGTGCCTGGGGCCCCCGGGGAGACCGTGTGGGGCCGCCCCGCCCCCTGGAGCCGCAGCCACGTGCGAGCGGCAGGCCCGGACATGCTCGGTCTGCGAGGTCCGGGGACCGAGACTGGGCCAGGCGGGCGGCGGGGATGCAAGGAGGGGGTCCCCAGAATCAGGGGCTGGGGTCATCTAGCGTCTCCACCACGGCGCCAGGCCGTGCTCGTGCGACGCGCAGAGACCGTGAGCGGCGGTGAAGTCTAGCACCCACAGGCGCCGGGGCCTTTAGGGCCCATCTCTGAAGTAGGGCCTCGGGAAGGAACGGGAGAGCGGCGGCTGCGGTCGCGTGGGGGCAAGGCCCTGGCCCCTGTCAGCCGTCTCCACCAGTGCCAAGTTCACATGCTTGCTCTTTTTCTCGTAGATGCCTGGAGTTACTGTAAAAGACGTGAACCAGCAGGAGTTCGTCAGAGCTCTGGCAGCCTTCCTCAAAAAGTGAGTGTGGGGCCTCGGGCTCGGTGGATGGGGGTTGTGGTCTTTGCCTGACTCCTCCGCGGACGTTGTTTCTCTTCTCGGGTACCGGGAGGCTCGTGTGAGGTCTCCGTGTGGAGTCTGCTTTTCTGCCTGAGGCCTGGGTTTGGGTTGTGGCCGCGTTTTTGTTTTTTTTTATATTCTGGGACATGTGGAGCTCCTGGTAACCTATACTTTTTGGGTTGAGCAGAGGGGATTTGGGGGCTGGAGTTTGGGGAGACTCCTGGATCGTCACTTTCTCACCGTTGGTCCCAGGTCTGGGAAGCTGAAAGTCCCTGAATGGGTGGACACTGTCAAGCTGGCCAAGCATAAAGAGCTTGCTCCCTACGATGAGAACTGGTTCTACACACGAGCTGGTGAGGAACTGGGGCCTCTGGGTAATGGGGGGGGGGGTGCTGGGTGACCCCTGGCACAAACCATACCTCCCTGTTCTCTCTGTGAGCTCTCCCAAGATTGCAAGAGGAGAGAAACTCTTTAAATTGTAGTTGAACTACAGTGTGAGAGAAGCACTAGGCTATCGCTGCGTGCTTGTGTGATGCTCAGTAACTTCATTTTCTGAGTCTGTTTTCGTTTGTAAGCGGTTGATGTGGGCACCTGTGGCTTCCTCTGAAACTCTAGGGAAACCCAGGGTCAAGTGAATGTTCATAGTTTACTTAGAGGAAAGCGTTTACTGACTCTTCCATGTTCGTGGAGTCAAGATTCTCCCCAGTTCAGATTTCTCTCTGCCACTTAACTGTGTGGCCTCCATCTGCCTGTTCCTCTTTGTGTCCTCTCTGAAATGAGGCTAACGATTGTTAACACAGGATTGTAGTGGGAATCAAATGAGCTTATGACAGTTAAAACCTGTACAATACCCCTGTGGCAGAGTAGTCCTTCAAGAAACGTCAGGTGTCCCGTTTTTATTGTTCAGATCCATAGGCTGGTTTTCTCCTTGTCTCTCTAGAGAGACCCATTTCTTTTAAGTGGTTGGGATCTGGCCGGGTCACTCCTTGCTCTAAATCTTAGTAAGTCCCAAGTACCCAAAACAAAGCCTTATGATCACCCTGTAACCATTTGCCAGTCCCCTCTCTTATTAGTCTACCAGTGATAAGTTGGAAGGAGTGACTTCAGTGTAGTGCCCAATGGCACAGTGCTAATTTTCACCTGTCCTTGACATTTCAAGTTTCTCCCGGCTGTCACTCCATGAAGGCCTAACTTAGGGATGGAGGGGTGGTCAGTGCTAGGTTGTTCAAGGCAGCAACCTCTGCACAGGCCTTCATTAAGGACCCTCAGCTTCTGCAATCTTTTAACCTTCAATCTCTGACCTAGGGGCTCCATCCTGGCCAAAGACTGTCTCCAGACGGGAAGTAGGTGGGAAGCACAGTTTAGAAGTAAAGAAAGCTTCAGGGTGACTTTGAGAAGAGTTGGCCTTGGTACCAAGTGCCTTTGGCACTTTGGAATATGATGTATTTTGTAGATTGGTGTTGCCCTTGTGCATCAGATGTCCGTGAGGTCCACTCTGTTTCAGGCCCTGGACGGGCAGAGGCCAACATGACTTGGCCACAGCCTCAGACCCCTGAGGATTAAAAGGTCAACTCACAGGTGGGTAGGGTGGGTAGCATATAGCGGGGATCCCCACTGTGCTTTTAGGAAGAAAAAAGGGCTGGGGAAGGGAAGCTGGCTTGATTTCCCCAGACACACATTAGTGATGGGGCCTGGATGAGACCACCACCCCATCCACCCATCTTGGGAAGCAAGGCTGCCTGGTCCTGAATGTTCTTTGGCAACGCCCCAAGAATCAGTTGGTCAAGGCAGCTTTGGATCTAAGATGAGGAGAAAGTCTACTGGCTTTTCCTATGTGGTCAGGTAAATTTACATATTTTGTTTAATCTGCCCTGTTGAAAACTTCCCAGGTAGTACTGGTGGATTTCTGTTTTATGCTTGTTGTATTTTTGTAGATGGGGAGAGACTAATGTGAAATGAGATCGAGACCACCCTGGGCAGTCCACCTAGATGAGCCTTAGACTGTTTCCTGGCCCCTTCTCTGGCAACTCACACGGAATGTGCATCCTCTACCTGCCATCCTGATCTCCCTTACTCAAGGTTCCCAAGACTCCCTTTTTGACCTCATTTCCCCAGCTGCCTTAGTGGCGTAGCCTCGTGATTCTAGACCAAGGTCTGTTGTGCACATTTTTGTTGGGACACTGCCACGCCCATTTGCTTCCATGTACACCAGAGGCAGAGTTGCAATTGTGATGGACTGGTGGCCTCCAAAGCCAAAAATGTTTATTTTGACCCTTTACTGGAGAAGTTTACCGGCCTAGGGTGCTCCCACCTAGTTGGGGTTAGCTCATACTCTGGGCAAGTCACTGGAGATACTCCATTACCAAAGAGGAAACAGGTACAGACAGGTGAAGTGACCCTAGGAGAGCATGACACACTGACTCCAAGCTTGGCAGACCCGAGTCTGTGCTGTATTTGCATTTTCTCCTTCCCTGCATTGGGATGTCAAGGAAAGACCACTGTAGGGCTTTGTGAGGGGAGGGGGTGTTGCCGTGTGGCCTTGGACAAGCCCCCTGGTTTCTTCATTGTCAGAAGGTCTTGCTTGGGAGGGAGGTGGGAATCCATTGTGTCTTGTCCAGCAGTGAGTGACTCCTGAATTGGGACATCTGAATGTCTCAAATGAAATCATTGTGGATGGGACCTGGTCTTCTCCGATCAGTGCGTAGCGCTGGGCAGTCACATATATTATTGGAAAGATCAAGGCTTGGAGACATTGCAGGAACAAGTTAAGGGGTGACAATGTCCGGATTCTTTCCTTAGAAGCTTGGCAAAGAACAGTTATTAAGACGCTGACCTGTAGGGGCACCTGGGTGGCTCAGTTGAGCATCCAACTTCAGCTCAGGTCATGTTCTCACAGTTAGTTCAGGCCCTGCATGCTGACAGTGCAGAGCCTGCCTGGGATTCTCTCTCTCTCTCTCTCTCTCTCTCTCTCCCTCCCTCCCTCCCTCCCTCTCTCCCCCCCTCTTTCTCTCTCTCTCTCTCTCTCTCTCCCCCCCCTTCTCCCTCTCTCCCTCCCCTGCCCCCCACAATATAAATAAACTTAAAAAAAAAAAAGATGCTGCGCTGCAAAGACATTTGTGAAACTTTGGTATACCAGGTGTTCAAGAGCATTGTGACCCTCTCCGCCTGGTGGCCCCTTGGGTGGGAGGATGCTACTGGTCCCTCCTTTATACTCTGAGGTGGGGAGTGACTCCTGGACACTTGGGGCAGGATTTCCAAGAGGAACAGAAAGTCTTAGAGGGACTTGAGAAGCCATTTGTGACCACACCTGGCTTGCTGTCACCTCCTAAGCAGCACCTAGGATGGCCTGATTGGTGATGTTAAGCTCCACTTCAGAAGGATTGGGGCCTGGGTCTCAGCAGGGTGGGGTGAGAAAAGGCCAATTATTTTGTAGAATTCTGTTATTTTGACTGTAATGCTTTCCGACTTGTAGCATTAATATTCTTTCCCTTTTAATAGGTCAGGAAAATAATTACCAAGAACTGGGGTGGGGGGGACCCTCTATCTGACACCACACCAGCTAGTTTTTTTCAGCGTAGGGAAAAATTTACAGCAGCCCCTTCACCTCCTCCTTGAAGAAACTAATAGTTGGACTTTACTGGAGCTTATTCTCTGCCACTCAGTCCTCAGGATTTGAGTAGGCTTCCCCTTGAGTCCTGTGGCCCAGGCCCAGACCGCCCAAATAGGGGGTGGACTCGGCTGAGAGGAGCAGTGTTGGGATTCACACCCTGTGTTGCCAGACAGCTCAGGGGTTGGCCATATTTTTTTATACAGAGCCCGGATTGGGACTAGGCTGAGCATTGGTCCTAGCCTGACCAGGCTTCTCCTGGGCATCTGTGTGCTTGGGAGTATTCCACTGACCCCTTCCTGAGGCTATTCTGCTTTCCTCAGCCCTGGGTAGAGCCCAGGTGGGAGAGCACAGCTCCACCCAGGCCAAAGCATGGCTTGGCACAGGCACAGGAGGAATGGTGGTAGCTGTTGGGCATGTGAGCTGGTCTGGAAGTCTGGACTTTTCCAGTGATATCACTGGAAGGGGAGTTTTGATCCTGGAGGTGGTGTGGAGGTAGGAAGAACCAAAGAGAACGGTTTAAAAAAAAATTTTTTTGGGGCGCCTGGGTGGCGCAGTCGGTTAAGCGTCCGACTTCAGCCAGGTCACGATCTCGCGGTCCGTGAGTTCGAGCCCCGCGTCGGGCTCTGGGCTGATGGCTCAGAGCCTGGAGTCTGTTTCCGATTCTGTGTCTCCCTCTCTCTCTGCCCCTCGCCCGTTCATGCTCTGTCTCTCTCTGTCCCAAGAATGAATAAACGTTGAAAAAAAAAATTAAAAAAAAAATAAAAAAAATTTTTTTTAATGTTTATTTTTGAGAGCATGCGAGAGCATGAGTGGGGGAGGGGCAGAGAGAGGGAGACACAGAATCCAAAGCAGCCTCCAGGGCTCTGAGCTGTCAGCACAGAGCCCGATGCGGGGCTCGAACTCGCAGGCTGTGAGATCATGACCTGAGCCGAAGTCAGATGCTCAACTGACTGAGCCACCCAGGTGCCCCCCAAGGAGAACAGTTTTAAAGTGAGCAAAAGCTGGAAGCAGTGAAACCAGGGGGAGGTTGTACAGTTGTCCTGATAAAGGTGGTGAGGGTTTCAGCCATGCTGGGGCCCCCAGAAGCCCATGACTGTATCTGAAGACCATCTTACAGGGCAGGAGGGGTCTGGGTGGGGACAAGTGGTGTGGAAGAACTTCTTTGGGAGGAGTAGCCCACTTTAGGTGGTAAGTTCCACCCACCCCCAGCTCAGAACCCCACAAGGTCATGGATGTGGCCTGGCACCTGGTTGTTAGGAGTAAGTAGTTACTGGAGGAAGGAATCCTGATTTTTCCCTCTGATCTGTAGGTAGGGACTAAAAGTAGTCACTTGGGCAAAACCATTATGTACTGATCGCTGGCAGCCCTGGAATGACTTGGAGTCCTTGCCTCTCAAGCCCTAGTTCCCTCAAATTTCAGTGGCCCCCTGAGATAGAAAGCCAGAACAGCTATGTGACATGAGGCCAGTGAGTACCTTCTGGAGCCTGTTTGCTTTTCTGTGAAGAAGAATAGCACTGGACACCCGTGCAGCTCTCAGGTGAGGGTGGGTGACTTACCGAGGCGCCACACCATCAGGCCAGGTCGTAAGGCCATCTTACTGCCTCATGGGGGAGCATGAAAAGCAGATGGCACGGGGCCAGGTGGGCAAATGGCCCTGTTGAACAGAACAGTGAGGGACGGGGGACTTGTCCAAGCCGGATGAGAATCCTGTGGTTGCGGAAGGGGTGATGCCCGTTCAGGGTTGGGAACGTCACTGTATGGGGTGTCTGCTCTGACCCTGAGTTCTCCAGGGCCAAGGGGCTTAGGGAGCTGCGCTCAGGTGGCGACATATCCCTGCTCGTACTCCTGCCCCTCAGGCCTGGGTCTGGAGGTGGAAAGTCACGGCTTAAGCATTTGCCAGGCTCTGCCCATAGGACCCTGGGCCCAGGCTCACGGCATCTCAGCTGTGGCAGGCCGTCCAGTCTCCTCAGCTGGGCCCGGGGTGTAGGGCAGCTTGGCTGTGGGATAGCTGGGGTGGGGGCCCAGTCGTTAGTCTGTGTATTCTCAGTTTTCCGGGCTATACAATGGGAGGAATTAGCTGCTACGCACACAGTTCATGTGTGTGACCTTGAGCGAGGCCCTTCCCTCAGCCTGCTTCAGCTGTAGAGAGGACTCTACTTTGCTTGAGAAGGATCCTCACATCTCACGCACACCCCACCCAGCTTCCACAGCACGGCACCTGTACCTCCGGGGTGGCGCTGGAGTCGGCTCCATGACCAAGATCTACGGAGGACGTCAGAGAAATGGGGTCATGCCCAGCCACTTTAGCAGAGGCTCCAAGAGCGTGGCCCGCAGGGTCCTCCAAGCCCTAGAGGGGCTGAAAATGGTGGAAAAGGACCAAGATGGGTAAGTGGGGTTGGGGGGAATGGCTGGGACGGGGGTGATGGAGGAGACTTGGGGTCAGGTCACCTGTAATGAAGTTGTCTAGAGCCATCCTTCCCCCGTGTGGGGAGGTGCCAGGTGTGTCCTGCCGTCTGCACCTGCCCCTCAGGCGGGCAGGGGATTCTGCAGAAAAGCGAACAGTGAGGGGCCTCACCCCGACCTCTCTGGCTGACTACCCCAAGCTCCAGGAAGGTAATTTAGCGACTGTCCGCTTTCATTAGCCTGCTCGTTAACTTTTCCCAATTGATTTTTCGGGGCTTTTGATCTAATGCTTGCACAAACGACACCCTGGCAGCTCCCAGGGGGGCTCCCACCCCTGCCCCCAGCTCGTTAGAATGCAGCTGACTGGGGCCCTCAGTGGGACTTGGCTGGTGTCATGTGGTCCCATGGCCAGGTGCCTTCTTGGGAAGCCTGGCTTACATCCAGGGTGGGCCTGGCAGTGACATGGTTGAGAGCCTTCACTCATGGGGGGCTGCATGACCCTTCTCCCACAGGGGACGCAAACTGACACCTCAGGGACAGAGAGATCTGGACAGAATCGCCGGACAGGTGAGGTCTGGGTGTGGGCCGGGGCTGGGTCTCTTAGTCACTGCCTGGGCGTTTCCAGAGCCTGGGATTTGTCAGGTCAGAATTTCCTACCCTAGAGGGCACAGCCCAGGCTGGTGGGGCCAGGGGTAGGAGAACGTTTCTGACTGACTTCCTGCTAGAGCTGGTTAGAAATGTGGGTGTCGGGACCCCAGGCCTGGCGTGCAGCTGGAATTGTTTCTCGTGCAGGACAGGTTTCTGCACACAACTCCCCTTTGCCCAGTCAGCCTTCTCAGGACTCTAGCTGCAGTGTTTCCTCATTCTTCATGCTCACTGACATCGGCCGGGATGGCTGTGGAGAGAGTGGGGGAGGCAAGCCAGCTCAGAACAAGGGTCTCCATCCACATCCCTGACTGGCTGGACACCTTGGGGCAGAGTCTGTTCGCCGGGAGCCATTCCCATCTGTAGAATGGTCTACTCTTGCCAGCCTCCATAGGGTAGTGGTGAGGGCTCAGTGGGCTACAGCAGGGGGAGCCCCCAGGGCCAGGCATGAACCCATCGTTGGGTTTTTTCTTTCTGTGTCATTGACTTAGGTCTCCTAGGAGCCTTGGAGGGCTCAATCACTTAGTCAAGTGTCAAAAAAGAGTAGAAGGTGTCAGCCCCCTGGGAGTCCGCGGGTTGCCTGGAAGGAGCCGGTGATCTTTTCTGCGCAGGGCAGGGCATCGACAGTGTGGATAGCAGAGCAGTGGGCAGGTGTTGGAATCCTGCCCCGCCACTCCCTTTCTTTTAGTCCCCGTTGACACTTCTGTAAAATGGGGAAATGCCCGAGGCTGTAAGGATTAGATTGGATGAACACCTGTCAGACCACAAATCCAGGTGCCTGGCGTCCCTCGGGTGGGGGGTAGCTGCTCCAAAGCGCCGGAACACAGACCCCACGGCCGATCTTAATTACTCTCCTGTCTTTTCCCACAGGTGGCAGCTGCCAACAAGAAGCATTAGAACAAATGCTGGGTTAATAAATTGCCTCATTCGTAATCCTGGTCCGAGTCTCTTGATTGGCTGCTGTTGCTCTTCCCTTTGGGGGCATGAGGGAGGCGCATTGAGCTTCCCTTTCCTCGTGAAAGAGGGGGACTAGGGATCCCTAGTGACTGATACCAACAGCCACTAAAGCCTAAGGCCCAGCCTTCCCAGTTCAAGCAGTTCCACCCCCGGTGGGCCTGGTGCCCTAGCTGGACTGGTGGTTGGGTGGGGCCAGGACTAGAGGCCCTTGCACCTCCCCCACATCCTGCCTTTGCAATTCTCAGTAAGATGAGAAACTGAAAAGGAGTGGCTTTCAGGCAGTGGCCTCAGCTGGGGCCTGGGCTACAGAGACTGCATTCTGTCCCTTCCTGCAACAAAGCGGGGCTGGGGCAGCCGGCCTTCATTCCTGGTAACTCCTTGAGTGCCTCCAGACCAAGGTGACTTGGTGTGCACCATTCGTTGGCAAACAGACCACTGACCCTGCCTGAACCTTTGCTCTCTAGAGATCTATTGCCTTGGGCCCTTCTGGAGTTGGTCGTACCTGCCCCAGAGTTGGGACCCGGTGCCCTTTCCCACCCACACCCACCATCCTCCTAGTGGAGAGGTGCCAGAGGCACCTGAGCAGAGGTAGAGGGGCACTGCCTCTTTAGTCCTGCAAGGTGATTGGCTCTCAGGCATGAATGGGGCAGGAGCCTGCCTGTAATTGGGCCCCTGGTAAGGGCAGGGGATATGAAGGGCACCAAGTGGGGATGTGCCAGGCCCCAGAAAACAGCCTGGAAAAGTGGCCCCTGTGGGACCAAACCCACCTCCTACCTGGGGAGTGCTAAGATGCTGAGCCTGAGCTGGCTTTGGAAGAGACAGTGCGAATGGGGAAGGGGCAGAGAGAGGGAGACCATTAGAAGCAGGCTCCAAGCTGTCAACACAGAGCCCAATGCGGGCTCCAACTCACAGGCCACAAGTTCATGACCTGAGTCGAAGTCGGACGCCCAACAGACTGAGCCACCCCGGTGCCCCAACTTAGTTTCTTATTCTTGAGGGATCTGGGGAGGTACCATATAGGTAGATTGTGCCATGGCTCAGAACATCACACCAAGCAGACAACCAGTTACCAGAGAACAGCAAAGCAGAGTCCCTCACCGGGTGGGAAATGAAGCTGGCCTCCCTCCCAGCTTAGAAGTCAGTGCTGGGGGTGCCTGGGGGGCTCGGTTAAGCGTCCGACTTCAGCTCAGGTCATGATCTCACGGTCTGTGAGTTCGAGCCCCACGTCGGGCTCTGTGCTGACAGCTCAGGGCCTGGAGCCTGCTTCAGATTCCGTGTCTCCCTCTCTCTCTGTCCCTCCTCAGCTCACGCTCTGTCTCTGTCTTTCAATAATAAACATTAAAAAAAAAAAAAGTGCTGGAAGACTTGTACTGAATAAACAGCCTACCACATGCAAAGGCACTTTGTATCACCTAACACACAAGGCAACCTGCTGAAGGTGCCCAAAAGCCCCCACGTTTTAGATCTAGTGAGAGTAAGTCACAGGGTGGGTAATTTGCCTATGTACTACAGGGGGGTGGCAAAGCCGGAATTTGAACCCGGGCAGCTGGGCTCCAGCCACTACGGTGCATTGCCCACCTCAGAAGTACAGGAAAGGGGGCAACGAGGTGAGCGGGGTGTGGACGTGCCCCAACAGTCCAGTTCGGCCTCAAAGGCCTGCAATCCAGCAGCTGCGTCTCTCCAGCCGCTGGGGGGCAGTCGAGGGCCTGGAAACTGCCTCAGCAGATGCAGGAGGTGAATTACAGGGCTGCAGCTTCTGCCCAGGTTTCTTGAGGGGGGGGGGCGGGGGGGGCGCGGATCATAAGGAGGAGCTAAAGCAGAGAGGGGCTGGTGACCTGCTACACAGCGAGGGTCACAGCAGAACACCTGGGTCCCTGGAGGGAAGGGGGAGGGCCCCAGGCCAGAGAAGCAGAACTGTGTCCTAGGAACTGTGATAAGCTCACTGTAGTATTCTTGTAGCCTCACAAGGGGGACAAGCGGGATGATTACAGGAGAAGAAACTGAGGTTCAGACCACCAACCAGTCAGTTGGCAGAGCTGAGATTGAAACAGAACTGAGATTCAAACATGTACTCCGGAGGCCCATGCTCTGTGTGGGTGACAATTGCACTTTCATTTATAAATTATGAAATGCTTCAAGCAATCAAAACAGTATACCTATTAGTGTAAGAAAGACCCACGTACCCCCTACCCAGCTTAGGAAGTAACACAAGACCTAAAACTGGGACAGACAAAGCCTCTGTACCAGCCCTCTGAGGTCACAGCCCTCCTCGCTTGCCCCAAAGGGAACCCCCTCTCAGGAACTGGGTGTCACTCACCTGCATGGGTTCCCTAATTGACTACAGATGCATGTGCCCCTAACAGCACCCAGTGTTGCTTCGCCTTTTGAAAACAAGTCAACTGTTTCATGCTACACGTTGTCATTTTCATGCCATTTCTGAGACGCAGCCGTGTTGACAAGCAGAGCTCTGCCTTTTCTCCTGCTGAGTATTACTCTACCGGCTGCCTACACCACAACGTATCCGTCCCATTCTCCGTAAATGGGCCTTCTGTTTCCCAGCTTCTGCTACCAGAAATCTCCCTGCAATAAATGTTTTCCCTATGTGTCTCCTTAGGTGCATGTGTGGCTGTCCCCTAACGGCTCACAAACGTCTCAACAACCTCCTGTAATTCCCCACCCCCACTCCTCAGACCTCACTTTCCTTCCACGTGACCTAAAATGATGCTCAAAGGTATGTGGGCCCACATAAGCGACTTTGACTCTCTGCTCCACTACTCCCAAATTGTACTACGCTGGGTAAGTGATGGCATCTCCTCTCTGGGCCTCAGTTTTCCCCCCTGTAAAAGGGGGGGGGGGGGTGTGACCTACCTTACCTACTTGTGGGGAGGCTGACTCATGTCGAGAGCCCATCATGGCTCTAACTCCTTGGGTGCTGGGGACATCAGCTCATCTCACAACAGCAGGGAGATGTTCTAATTGCTGAGATTAAAAACGCCAAGGCTGGGGCTGTCGGCCAGCTCCGTCAATAGAGCATGCAACTCTTGATCTCAGGGTTGTGAGTTCGAGCCCCATCAAGTTGGATGTAGAGATTACTTTAAAAAAAAAAAAAATGTTTTAAATGCCCAGGCCCAGGGGGCACCTGGCTGGCTCAGTCGGTTAAGCATCCGACTTCAGCTCAGGTCATTATCTTGTAGTTTGTGGGTTGGGGCCCCACATCGGGCTCTGTGCTGACAGCTCAGAGCCTGGAGCCTGCTTCATATTCTGTGCCTCCCTCTCTCTCTGCCTCTCCCCTGCTCGAGCTCTGACTCTCTCTCTGTCTCAAAAATAAATAACCGTTAAAAAAAATTTTTTTTTGCTTTTAATGCCAAGGCTTAGAAAGCCACCATCTAGTCGTAGAGCCGATCAGCCTGCCCCCATTTATTTTCATGAACATTAAGAGCAACCAACATCTACTGAGCACCTGCTATGGGCTAGGCCCTATGTTTAGAGCTGTGCATGCACAGCCCCTTTAAATCCTGGATTCCAACCTCAAGAGGTGAAGACGTGGAGGCTCAGAGAGAGGCTCAGCTTTGCCTAAGGCCAGTGACTGAACGGAGACCGGGCTCAGAACCACCACCCCGACAGGACAGACCTGTGCCAGCACACAGCAGGCACCTCAAACTCTGACTCCCTCAGGCTTCCTTCCCAGGGCGGGCCAGTGGCCGAGCCAGGCTGTAAACTGGTCTCTTTCCCCAACCCAGCAGCCTCCCCTCGGGGGAATTGCGGCCACAGGTGCAGGGAGCGGTTTCTCTCCACTCGGGGCCTGAAGCACACCGGCAGGGGCTGCCCCTGGGCCCACAGCCGAAGGGCCCAGCAGTGGGGCCATTGGAGCCCATCTCCGGCGGGGCTGGGCAGGAAGTGGGGCGGGGCTTGGGGCCAGTGAGGTGGAATCTGGTACCCCAGGACTGCTGCAGCCCAGACTAACCAACCCACTGGGAGAGATGCCTGGGGGTCCCGGAGTCCCCCAAGTGCCGTGTGCTACTATCTTTCTCCTCTTCCTAATCTGCGCTGTTGGTCTGGGTACGTGGCTAACAGGCTGGTGCTGGGGGGCCGGGGGAGGACTGGAGGCTGGAGAGAGGGCTCGGGCAGAGAGAAGGACACTAGGAGTGGGGGGAGAGGAACCGGCAGGTGGGGGGGGGGGGCAGTGCTGGGAAGGCCCCTAAAGAAACTGCATCTGTCTGCTTGACTGTCCCAAGCAGGCCGCAGGTCCGAGGGGAGGCCGGAGGGGGCTCGGCGAAGTTGAAGGGCCGTCCGCGGCCACATGGAAGGAGACAGGGGCGCGAGATGACTTCCCCACCCCCTCATCTCCCCCACAGGTCAAAATAAGGAACTAAGGTCGCCCTTGACTGAGCTCCAGAGCTGGGGGCAGGAAGAGCACTTGGGGGTAGGGCTCAGCTTCAGGGGGGAGAAACAGCTTTCTCCTTCTCTGCCTTGAGTCTCGGTCACCCCCGATGGGCTGGGAGCCCCTTTTCAATGCTAGGGGAGGGGTTCCTCGTTGACACTGTCCTCCCAGCTGTACTGCCCCCCCCCACCCCGGCAATGCCAGCTGGTGGGGCTGTGACCACCCAGGTTACACTGGGAGCCGGGCTGGGGACTGTAGCCCATGACCCTGAGGTGGCTGCCTCTTTTCCCCCCTCCTCCCCCTCCTCTCTTCCTCACCTCCCACCTTCTCCCTTCAGAAGACAGCTGTGGGCTGGCCCGTGGGGCCGGGAGCTGAGGCCGCCCCTGGCTTCCTTTTGACAACCACCGTGCCGAGTCCCTACCCTAATCCCCAGCCCAGCCATCAACTGAACTGGCTCCTGAACCTTAAGGTTGACACAGGAAAGTTACAGAGAATAATGGGTGGGCGTGAGGGTGCAGGGCAAGGCAGGCCCAAAGACTGGCAGGAAGAGGCCCGGGAGGCTCAGGCT